ATGTACCACCACCGCCCAGCTCACAGTCATAAGAAGTGACTGTCTTCCTAAACCAGCATTACTGGATCACTTGCTTCATTCCCTTCAAACAGTCTACTACATAGCCAGCAGGAGAGATGGGTATGGCTAATACCCTCCATCTAGGTAGATTGGAGTCAGTTCTATGGCATGAGAAATAACACAGACCTTACATAGAAAACTACCGAAGACTATTTCACAGAACGAGAGAATATATATGAATGGATACTTCTCTTTCAGGTCAGGAAAAGAAGCATATATTACCAAGGTGATGAACGAACAAGTCTGATGTCCTGTCGGATATGAACAGAAGCATGGTCTGTGGCAAATTATTTATAATCGTTTTCCTAATTGCCAAAACCTTTATCTGATACCTCTGTACAGTAAATAATCTCAAATTTCTGACTTTTTAAAACTTTCATAATTGTATTGCAAACAATAACTTTTTAGTGGGTATCCATTACTGTGATAAGCACTGGGGACTATAAAATGAACAAGGCCTTACTTTTAGAGACCTCAGTGTCCATAGGCTTGAACTGTTAAATTTTGACAAAATTAACAACTGTTACTTATTTATTCAGTCTAGTTTGTCAACAAACCCAAGTTGCCAAAGCGCTGTCAGCGTCAGTTCTCTCAAAAACAAAACAAACAGAAAAGAACTTAACAGAACTCAGACAAAAGATGCAGACATGTAATGCTCAGGCCTGTCTCCAGTCACTAATGACAGACTGTAGTGAAGGGAAGTGACATGGAGGAAGTGCTCAGACTCTCTGCGTGGGACCCACACTGAGGAAGCCGGGGTGCAGTAAGGAGACCCCACACCCAGCACTCCAAAAGAAGATATAGTGTGCACTCTGGAAGCCGGGGTACAGTAAGGAGACCCCACATCCAGCACTCCGATGAAAGAGATGGTGTGTACTGCAGAAACCGGGGTGCAGTAAGGAGACCCCACAACTAGCACTCCAACAAAAGAGATGGTGTGTATTGTGGAAGCCGGGGTGCAGTCAGGAGACCCCACAACTAGCTCTCCAAAAGAAAAGATAGTGCTTTTAAACTCTGACAGAAAACATCAGACTGTAAAACCTGGATTTTATTACTAAAATTTGTATTTTGATCTAAAATATGAAAAAGCTCTTTCCTTAACAGTATTTCCCAACTCTGAATGAAGAATGAAAGTGATTTTCTTTCTCTCCTCCACCGACTATAAGCTTCTGTTTTCTTACTCTGGGCATCTGAATCTTTTATTTGCTCCAGTTCTATTCACTGCCTGTTATTCAGACATTGAAATCCCAAATGTTAATTGTTCTTCCAAGTACATTGACAAAACAGCAGCTAAATAAGGGTAGAGCAGACTGTGGTAGACTCTGACATGCATTTATGGAACAATGGGGCTCTGAGAGACAGCCTTGTAGCTCACGGGAAGACATAAGATGTGCTATTTTGACTGCTTCGTAGCAGAATGGGGAACACACGCACACAAGGGAATTATGCATTTTTACTTAGGTTTGCCCAAAATCTTCAAGGCTATAGAATCCTGTGATGTCATCATGAACTTTTCATTTCCATTGACACAAAGGCTAAAAAATTCTAGTGACATCACTAAAGAAAACGAAATCGACTTTGATTCAAAAGAATTCTTTTACCTCTTAAGAGTCGGGTATAAAAAAGCACAAATCTCTCCACTGAGGGTGTGTGTCACTGTGCTGATGCACAGTGGGTGACACCCTCTCTAATGAAATTCAAACCTGCCAAAAAAAAGGTTTTGTAATTTCGAGTGAATAAAAGACACCCAGAAATATTGAGCTCAATAACTTTTTTTAAAGGAAATCATTTAAGGATCTATTTCTTCAGGGACATTCCGATTTTCCCTCATGTCTGGTTACTAGGAGAGTGGTTCTGTCCCTTTGTGGGTTGGTCGCAGAAACACAGAGGAAGGCACAGGAAGCTTCTACTTACAGGAACACAGTGCAGCTCAATCTTTTGTTTTTAAGGTGCAGTGATTTCAGTCTCGAAATGTAACTTCAGGCAGTCTGAAAAGAAACAGGTTAAAATCTCTTTCAGTTATAATTGGTATTTCAGATTTAATTAAAAATTAAACTTTCATAATGTTTCCCCATCCAAAGCAATGCATTACCAGTCAAGCGGAGCTTTTTTATCCCTGTTAAGGGGGAAAAAGAAAGAAAGGGGAAAAAAACCCTTTTCCCAGAGTAGTTTCTTAATGAAAATAAAAGGATCTAAAGAGGAAACAAAGGGAATTCTGAAAGAAACCAAATCTCCTGCAATGCTAAGGACTTCATAGTGGTATGGCTAGAAGCTTCTATAGTGAATTCAGTTACAATCTAAGTAATTTAAAGAAGAAACATCCTAAGGAAGAATTTCATAATCTAAAGAGTATGGAAAATATTAAGCTCATAGAACATGGAAAAATCTATGGATCTGAATATCCACGTGGAAGGAAAACTACGACTGTAAGATATTAGGAAAAAAACTAAACTATGGTTCCAAATGACTGACCGGTGGCAGAGGGGAGCTGTAAACTAGAGGTACCCAAACACAGTTAGCAATACAAAATGCAAAATGGGGCCGGGCGGTGGTGGCGCATGCCTTTAATCCCAGCACTCGGGAGGCAGAGCCAGGCGGATCTCTGTGAGTTCGAGGCCAGCCTGGGCTACCAAGTGAGCTCCAGGAAAGGCGCAAAGCTACGCAGAGAAACCCTGTCTCGAAAAACCAAAAAAAAAAAAAAAAAAAAATGCAAAATGGACAGCAAATTATGATATGGGCTGCCTGTGCCACACTTCACGTCACAGTATACTTCTTGTTCCATAGCATCATTAGTGTGATACAGGAAGGTCAGAAGGATTGGAGTGAGACATCCTGGTTTAATTTTCTGGTTAAAAAATATGCATCTTTAATCTTCAAAGTTAAGAGTCCAGGCATTTAGATCTCTAACTGTATCCTACAACTTTGGGCTTAAAACATTCTATTCTTTCTTTTCAATCTTTTCTTCACATACCATCCTCTACAAATAATAGTAATAAATGAATCACAACACACTACATTAAGTCATTCCTATTTTTATCTTCAAATAAATAACATATTAGTATTTAGAAAAAGATACTTTTAAAATGCAAAATGGAGCTATTATAATTATTTTCCTTATTTTGCTTTACAACACAACAATGTTTTTAATATACATTTGTTTTACTGATTGTGGTGGGTTTATGTCTGACCCTCACATAATACAAAGTAATATTTTAATATTTCCATATATGATAAATAATCATAAATTACCCTTGAAACTGCACCTATTAGGAGAACATGCATCTGGTTCTCACTTGCAAATCCTGTTCTCTTTTGAACTATATGGAATAATAATTTAGGCAATGTGTCTATTTGATGTACATACATTTTAAATGCAAACTTGCTCATACTTCATACTAAATCCACCCATGAATGGGATTAGATTTTTTGAAAAAAAATTACTGACTTACTAAACTTTCCCTCTGCTTCTCAAAAGCCTGAATTAGACTAAAAATGCACCAGTGTAAAGACAGAAATTATGGAGGCGTCACCAGGGACAACTGAATGAGAGGAGAGGAGAGCACATATATCCTTATAAGGCAACCAAACACTCAGGAAAGACACTGACAAAAATAACTGTGCTCAAAAATTATATGGAATAACAATAACCCCTGATAAATGATTCAGAAACATAAAAAGTGTCCATTTCTAGATAAATCTGAATCGCAACTGGTATTGTTCTCACCAACAATAGGTGGTCAGTGAAAGTGAATCACTGTCTGGCTCAAAAAGGTGAGAGAAATCAGACTGAATACACATACAAAGAATTTAACTGACAACTAGCAGTTCAGTTCAGTCAGATTTCCTTTTCCTCAAACCAGCAGATGTGGAGTAAACAGAACTATTCAAAATCATAAAGTTCATTGTGAATAGTCAGCATTAAGTCATACACACCCTCCCTCCCTGTCCTCTGTGACTAGCTTTCTTCTCCATTTCTGCCTGCTTCTCCCTCTGTCTGTCTCTGTCTCTATCCCTCTCTCTGGTGAGGGTAATGAAGCTCAAAAATAACATCTTGTATCCTGTTGAGGGAAACTTGGTCACAACTATCCTTCCAGATGACAAACTCATTCTTAAATGTCTGTTTCTCCAATCCAAAGAAAATAGAGCAATTGAGAAAATAGACACAGCCTCACTTACACTACCAACACCACCACTTTTAATTCCTGTGCTGCATTCATCAAAAGGAGGACAGAAGTTTATTTACGTTATTCCTAACCTCAAATAGGACCACAAATAAGCCTAATAACAGGACTGTTCTGTGGCACTCAGGCAAACGGCTGGGCAAAACAGATGGATCTTGCTTTGCGCCAGAACTCAAAAAATACAGTCGCCAACTCACTGTTGGCGACTACGTATCTTGGCCCAAAGATGGACCTGGAAGTGGGACCAGTTGTCTTCGATATGAATACTGCTCCTCTTCATTGCCACATGAACAAACCATTAACTCTGTCACTGAGCAGCCTACTACTCAATATTAGGTAGAAATTGCTTGAAGGCAGGTCATTAAGGAAAGTGAAATATCTCTGAGGGCACAGTGAGATTCAGGGGCAGAAAATCAGGACAGTGCCTTATCATGGCCCCACTCTGCTTTACCACTTCCAACTTTCATGTTCACAACTGTACACTGAATCCACCTTTAAACCAGATCTACGAAGCATATGTCATCATGAAGAATAAAATTCTCCTGACATATCAGGTTCTAAAATCTTTTAAAAAAATTAACCTTAGGCAGTAATAAAATTAACATCAGTGGTAGATGTTCAAGTAAGAATAAAACTACAAGGATTTATAGATTATAGTCAATATCCAATGATACAGTGACATCAGTGTAAATTACAAAGCCTGGAGAAGGATTCTCTCTGCATGCAGTTCTGTACTTTGTACTAGATTCTGTATGGATGCTAGAAACGCAGCACATGTGGTATTTTACAGTGATCTGTGCTACAAGTCACAAGGCCACAATAAAGCCCTCAAACAACAAAAATGATAAGGAGTAGTGAAATGCCATAGATCCTAGCAGCACCGAGTAGGCACAAAGATGGCTTCTGACCACATTCTCCCTCATTTGAAAATTCTCATCTAGATAGGAATTGAGATATTAGCGTGTCACTGGGCCACAGAGCTGCAAGGGAAGAACAAGAAGCATCGCAGTTTAGAAGGTCTGCTAACTCAAGCACTTCTCTTAGTGTTCTTCCATGTGTTCAGCCATGATCTTATCTTGCTCAGGTGACTTTTGCATGTTCAGTAAGTCTTTTTATGGCTTATTAATTTTGACATGTACATATTTGATTCTTTTTTTTTTTTTTTTTGGTTTTTCGAGACAGGGTTTCTCTGCGTAGCTTTGCGCCTTTCCTGGAGCTCACTTGGTAGCCCAGGCTGGCCTCGAACTCACAGAGATTCGCCTGGCTCTGCCTCCCGAGTGCTGGGATTAAAGGCGTGCGCCACCACCGCCCGGCCATATTTGATTCTTAAAGATGTGACTGTGGTCAACAGAGAATACTAATGGTGAAATTAGTTTTTCAATTGAATTTTCCTTTAGAAAAAAAATTTATTATGGAAAATTTCAAACATATGGAAGGGTACAATGTACAGTGAGTTCCATGCACTCCCAACACACTCATTTTCCACCTATTCTTCTTACCAGTTCTTCTTCCACTAGATCATTTAAAAGGCAATACCAGATAACATATCACTCACCCATAGAGACTTTAGTATGCATCACTAAAATATTTTTTATAAACATAGCTGGATTTTTTCACACCTGAAATAAAATGACTCTTAATGTTAGTAAATGTTCTGTTAATGTCAAATAATATATGTTATCAAGTCTTCCACTAGTATCTCTTTTCTGTTCTAAGAATCCCATTCAGAATGCGAGACTGCATGGCTGGGCGATGTGCCCTTGGTTTCTTTAGTCTGTGACAATTTTTTTTGTGTGTTTTCCATTACCTTCTCAGTTTTGAACAAGATAAAATACTTTGTGTTCTGTTACTAAACTTGAATTTGTCTAATATTTTGTCATAAACAGACTAGAATTATGAGTTCCACAGATGCATAGAAAAATATGTATTATTAAAATATTGGGAAGTAAGCAGGGAGGTGGTGGCGCACGCCTTTAATCCCAGCACTCGGGAGGCAGAGCCAGGCAGATCTTTGTGAGTTCGAGGCCAGCCTGGGCTACCATGTGAGTTCCAGGAAAGGCACAAAGCTACACAGAGAAAAACGGTCTCGAAAAACCAAAATAAATAAATAAATAAATAAATAAATAAATAAATAAATAAATAAATAAATAAAATATTGGGAAGTAAATGATATTATGACACATCACTGTGGATGTTAACCTTGGTTACTTGGTTAGGTGGTATCAGCCATGTTATATTTTGAATAAGCATACTTTTATTTTAGTACCATATGGTAACATAACTTATAGAACATATGTCTGAGTCTCATGTCCTGTTGCTATGACACAAAACTCCCCCCCAAAAAAAGAAAAGAAAAGAAAAAACAACTTAAGAGAGACAGGGTTATTTGACTTACAATTCCAGGTTATAGTCCACAACCAACAGGAAAGTCAAAAGGAGCAACAACTTGCAATAGCTAGTCAAGCACATCCCCAGACAAGAACAAGGAATCCATACAGTGCTAAGCTTCCTTGCTTCAATGCATTCAATCTGGGGCCCAGCCCAGAAAATGGTACATTTCAAATTCACAGTAAGTCTTCCAAACTCAATGAACCCAATTCAGAAATCCCTCACATCAATGCCCACAGGCCAACCTAATATAGGGAATTCCTCATTGAGACTACCTTGCAAGTGATCTTACATCGTGTCAAGGATATAATAAAAACTGCCCATCACAAGTTATCCTTACTATCAATGATTTTGAGAAAATTCAGAGTAATACAACCATAAACACAATCCAGCTTCAGAAAATTTTTGTCACAATTGAA